TTTTTAAAAAACGAATGTACCGAATAAAGCTATGTTTTTATAGTTTACCAATGAATTTATAAGTACACGTATTCCATAGATGGCCAACAAATAGTTGTAGAAACATATCGTGCAGATATGGTCAACTACTTTATCACTATAACATCTCAACAAACAGATTCATTTGAGTTTAAATCCAGTGACTATCGTGACATCGTGATAAAATTTATAATAATTATTAAATTTGCAGTGAACGTGAATGCGATTGTTCTTAACGTTTGCAGAAAGTGCTTTATTAATAATTAAAACACACAATAAATCTTATAAATATATATAAATACATCAGAACAACAACAAACATAAGCTACATTTTAACGTGTTGGAACAGAAATTTTCTTTCACTTTGTTAGCAATTATAGGGGCGAATAAATAATACAAATATATGTATAATAATACAAAGAGGAATGCAAGTGTCAAACGTGATGCGCATATTATAAAACTGATATTGTAAAATTAAACATAAAATCAAAACCAGAATGTTTATTTTTTGTCTGTGTGTACACTATTTCCTTCTTATTAAGCGTAAAATCTTTATTATTCAATTGAAATCTGTTTTTGCATATAATCAATAAAGTTTTTCTTTAAGTGCAAGGTGCTATTTTTATATTAGTTTTTGTTCTTTTTATGTTCACTGTCATATTTTATATAAAAGATATATTTCCGAAAGATTTAACGTATTAGTGTGAAGATATCATCTCATTTTACTGTAACATATTACTGTGACAATTCTAAGTAAAGAAGTAATACTTCCTTCTTTAAAATGTTTTAAGTAATAACATTTGAAATAAGATAAGAGATAAAACATCGATAAACTTGTACTTCCACACTCAATTCAGGAATCTGTATATTTTAAAAATTAAAACTCAGAAAATACAATAGTTTATTTTTATTTGCTCATTTACAATATGTGCTTATAATCGCTTCTATTGTTTTCCAATTGTAAACTGCAACCGCATTATTGTCATTTCTTCAGTAAGACTGTAAGACAAAAGTTGATGTTAATACAATTGATACTTACTGTCACATTATGATATTAAAGATTTTGTATTTGGGAATTTAATAATTAATTTACCATAGAACTTATTGTAATATTAAAACGTTTTACAGAAATAGATATGTAACATTTCTAGTAATTAACAAATTGAATTGTAATTTAACGAATTAAATGTACACATATACATATTTATTGTTGCGAATATATGTATATAATATTACATTTTTCAAAATTGTCAAAATTAATACACACAGTAAAATTTATTTTAAAAAATCTGGAGATATTTAAACATCACTTATCTGATTGTGTAAACACGAATCAGACGTCACTGGAATGTTTGATTTAAGTTTCATTATGAAATATATTTTGTTGGAGGTACTTAATATAAATATTCATTAAACCATTCGTAGGTGTAACATTCAGTCGTATTATTAAAAAATATGTTAACAAGATAAAAATAAATACATATATTGTTAAAAAAATGAGCACGTAAAGAATATATATCAGAATATGTGTTACCTTTAATTCTTATTTATAAGCCTTTCTGCATACTCCACTAACTTTTACGTAACCCTTTTGACACGGAACCTGTATTATATGTGGTTCAGTTACCACCATTGTGATAAAAGTTGTTAGTAACAGAAAGGTGATCATCAAACATGTAAAAAACGTGCTGAT